TTACCCTGTTCTCACTGGGCTTTACTGCACTGTACTGTGCTTTTACCCTGAATTCACTCTGCTTTATTGCACTGTACTGTGCTCTTACCCTGATCTCACTGGGCTGTACTGCACTGTACTGTGCTTTTACCCTGATCTCACTGGGCTGTACTGTGTTTTTACTATGTTGACCTCAAACTCTCACAAGGGTGGGGTCCATGTTTTGACCCGGGATCTGTGTGTCTCCCCGTGTCCAGGGACAGGATGACCGCGGAGGAGTGCCTCGTCCACCCCTGGATCAAGGTGGGTAGCGGCAGGTCACTGCCCCTCTTCCCCTGGGTGAGTTCTTGTTGTTCAGGCGGCAGGCTGGCACTCGCACCCGAGGCTGGCAGAGCCCCCCCCCCCCGAGAGACAGGGGGTCCTGGCTGCTGGGAGGTTGTGGGCCAGTCGCTGCTGTCCCGCTGTCCCGCTGTCCTCTGCAGTGAGGGGCCTCAGGAACTGGTTCCAGTTTTGGCCCCCTGTGGGAGCACACTCTGGAGCCAGGCGTGGGCACAGCTCCGCTCTCTAATAATAATAATAATAATAATAATAATAATTCTAATTCCTTACACTTACATAGATCTTTTCTGGACACTCCACTCAAACTCTCAGTGGGGAGGAGAGCAGAGCGATGAAGCCAGTTCAGAGAGGGGGGTTATTAGGAGGCCCTGACTGGTAAAGGAAAGGGGGAATCTGGCCAGGTTGCAGGGATAACACCCCCACTCTTTTCGGGGAACACTCTGGGATTTTTAATGACCACAGAGAGTCAGGACCTCGGTTTTATTTCACATCCGAAGGACGGCACCTTTATTACAGTATAGTGTGCCCGTCACTGTACTGGGGCATTAGGACCCACACAGACTGCAGGGTGAGCGCCCCCTACTGGTCACGCTAACACCTCTTCCAGCAGCAGCCACCCCTCCAGGTACTGGCCAGGCTCACAGGCTCGTGGCTGCTGGGAGTCTCCCTCTCTCCTAATCCCGTCTCCCTCTCCCTCTCCCTGTCCCTGCGCCGCACAGCCGCTGAGCAGGAAGCAGGCGGACAATCGGAGCCGCTCCTCCATCAACATGAAGAGCTTCCGGAGGTTCAACGCGCGCAGGAAGTGGAAGGTGGGTACGG